TGCGCAACGTCACAGTAATTGGACACATTATTACGAAATATGAAAAACATCATTGACAGTATTTTTATCAGCAGCTAAAGTGATATTTTTTATCTTATTATCATTTCTTTAAATTGCTAGAAGGTTGCTGCTTACAAGGAAGCTACTGTACCAAGAGTTCCAAGTAGTTAAGTTGATGTCATCCTTTCGACAGTTTGTGGCAGCCACCATAAATTTGTTAATCGTTATACAATATCTATGTCACAGATGATCACAGATATGTTCAAGTTTTTACCCACAATTCTGTCCTCTGTTCTTCAACTATGACATCAATGAATGTGTATTGATCATCAGCAACATAACGGGTGCCACAACAGAACATGATTTTTAACATTCCGGTGAATCTCCAGTTTGGAGGGGTTCGTATTGCTTAGCTTTAACTTTTTATGTTTCGTAAATATTTTTGTCTTTGCTTCGTCTTTCGTTTTTTTGCCATGGCGTTGTCACTTTCTGTCAACTTATAAGTTTTTTAAAATGTGTCCTTGTTCTTTCAGTTCTATTTTGGGAAATATTTATGTGCATACTGTTACAAATAAGGGCAGCTGGATTTTTTTTTGTGTTATATATGTCTCAGTAATATTGTATTCCCAGTCTACATTTGAGATATGGGTGTGAGAGTAATGTTTGAATCATTTTTGTGCGCATTCGGTTTTACTTTCGGTTCTTTCTTTGGGATTTAGAAGCTCTTCTTAAATGTTTTTATAATGTGTTGGATTTTCAAATATCACTGAGGAGACAGTAATTGTCGAAATGCGCAAATGGTGCAGTATAAGCGAATGATACCAAAGGGATATAAAAACTCATCAGTCGAAAACAAACTGACGATGTTATTTCAAAAAAATAAAAACGATCAAACGATGGTTTAATAACAGTACACAGCAAAACTCAACATAGAAAACTGAGCAACACGAACCACGCCAAAAGCAAGTAGTGATCTCAGATGTCCCGGAAGGATAGCTGATCCCGCTCCACTTGTGGCACCGCTGCTGTTGCTAATGTAAGTATAAACCCGATGATAAATCTAAAATTGCTACCGTTTTCATTATTTTTTTAAAACAAATAAACAATTAGTGTGATAGGACGTTAAATGTTCAAAACAAAATAAGTTTGATATAAAATTAAAAAAAAATTGGGGGCTTCAGTGTATTTTTATCTAAAGATACCCATATCTTCAAACCTGTCTAAATTACCATTTTGCCTTCAACTTATGTTCTAGTTCAGTCTTAAACGTTACTTTGTGGTACATGTTTAAACAGTAAAAATGTAATCATAAGAGCTGAACTCGAATCAGTCACGTTCAGTGTAATGAACAAAGAGAGTTAACTGTCTTTCAGCAACAAACACAATATCAATGCATACTGAAAATAAAACAAAAGTACCGAGGCTACCACTAAATACATTTTGATTAGATTTCGCTGTCATAATTTAATCTTAATGAAGCATTTCAATGAGGAAAAAAATGAAACCTCACCTTCTTATACATTGTTTGTTATAAGACTGATAAAGTCCAAAGAATAACAATTTTTTAAGATGTGCATGTTTCAGTCTCTACTTTCTATACTTTAGTATGTGAGACAATTTCAGTTTGAATATTTACTTATGTCATTGTTTTATTCAACAACAGATACATGTTTATCGGCAATTTGTACATTTCCCTTTGATCTTACTGCCTAATATTTGGAAGATCATGGACTGGACTTGATACTCGAAAATATTAGGCAATGACGTCATGTATCAGTGCAGCAACGTCACGTGTTCATGTCCGTCCGTTTCAATTTATCAATGAAATGCACGCGACTTCATTCATACAACCGAACAACTATCCCAACGTTTTGTACGCGTAAAAGTAGTTTTACTTATTATTTCGTTTTACTTCATATTCTGAACTAAAAAAATACAGTTAAGACAAATTGCCGATAAAAAGAATAATGGCATTTTATTTTTTGATACTGACTTCATCAGCTCGAATATCAGCTCGCCCTTGCGGGCTCGCTTGATATTCTTGCTGATAAAGTCAGTATCAAAAACAAAAATGCCATTATTCTATATGTGTGTTATATAATGATAGTCTTCCTGATGTTTTGTGCGATTACTTTTTTTTATTATGATTGTTTTCTTTCTTTGAATATTTATTTTTTTAAGTAGGATGTCTACGTCTACAGTATTGAACATGAAAGAAAAGACAAATAAATGGTCAAAAGAAAGTAATGTTGGACGTAAGATATTTAAAACTTGAATTGAAAGCGCCTAAATATCAATTAACCGGAAAAGGCGTTGAATGTCCTTCTTCTCCTCATAAATGCAAAATATATTGCGGCAAAATAAATAAAAAATGCTGTATCCCAGGTAGTGCATCCCGGTAGTATTAGATACCGTTTTTTAAAAGTTAAAATAAAAAAGTTTGTAATTTTGAACAAAGATCTGCTATACAAAAAAAGATGGAAAGCAAAATGACAGATATCAAAACTGATCCGAGTTATATTGAAATTTGATAAAACTTCAAAATGATTTCAGTAAGTAAGAATTAGAATAAGAATATTTATTGAATCCAAATAAAGGGCCCGTTTCCGAGCATATACATATATATATATATATATATATATATGTATATATATATATATATATATATAGTATTATTTATACAGTAATTTTTAAGATATATTACATTAAAAATAAATGATTAGATTAAATAACTATACTCCATACCAGATGGTGTTTGAAAATAAATAAAATAGAATATTAACTCTCTCTAATACATAAAAAATTGACTTCATCATTACTACATGTATATTTAGTTTCAAGTATCTATTTATTCGTTATATTTAGTAAAAAGGAACGAACGCCAGGAAACGTTGAAGGTGCACAATTTGCTTCTAACACAGATATGGTAAATTTTATTGACCAGCGAGTATGTCGTATGAGAAAAAAAGTATTCAATTAGCTAGACTGCTTGTTATCATTTGATTCAAACTTTAAAGACTTGATGTTGGCACGTCTGGATTAATGCAATACTAGTATGCAGAAATTTGATTAGTTGTTAACAATATGAATGATGCCATCATATTCTTGTTATTTACCCACCAAATATTTCCCTATGGAACCTCAAAAATGATAATAGCAATACCTGTGAAGAGTAATTTCAATGGGTTTTATTTATATTGGGATACCGCAAAATTGTGAAATTGCCCTTTTTTTGGAAATGGGATATATCAAACATTGGAATATTGAATTTGTTTTTAGATTGATAACGGTTTTTTTTGAAAATTTGATGGAAATAAAAATAACCGAAGATAAGCTGTTAGTCTGTATCTGTTTTAAAACTTTCGCTACAGACATGATAAAAGTCATGCAGCGTTGTTTATAGATTAGACCGTTGGTTTTCCCGTTTGAATGGTTTTACACTAGTAATTTTTGGGGCCTTTTATAGCTTGCTGTTCGGTGTGAGCCAAGGCTCCGTGTTGAAGACCGTACTTTGACCTATAATGGTTTACTTTTATAAATTTTGACTTGGATGGAGAGTTGTCTCATTGGCACTCATACCACATCTTTCTTATATCTATTGTCATAAGCTTGCATTAAATATGTGATTTAACAAAATATTATATGTAAAAGCACTAGAAGGTATTGATGTTTTAATACCGAATTTCTCGAACATTTACTGTCGTAATTTACACAACAAAAGCAATCGAATTAATTCGCCCGAAAGAAAAGCGATCAAATGACCATGAATATTAGTAAAAAAAACTCATTTTGGAAATAATTTTTGTTGGATTTTTAGAATGCAAGTTTCACTGTCGAAATATTCAAAGACCTTGTTCTTTAAAATCAATATACAGTCAAACCTGCCATTACGCTCACCTCGTTTCAGCGGTCACTAACCTGTATCCAAAGGTCACTTTCAGACCCTCCCACACGTTTTCTCTAAACAATTTACCGTATTTCAGAGGTCACCTGTCTAGCGCAGTCAGCTGTTTTTAATTTTTACATGAAATCATAATTTAAACTTTAGAAACGGCAATTTTAATGATTTTAACGACCAATATATATGTTATCATAACAAAAAATATATGTGTTCAGTACAGAAGTCAACATGAGAATCGGAACCTGTTCCAAACTAAGATCGAGCAATAGGAGGTGAATGTGTGTTCTGCTCCTTTCAGTTCCGATTAGTACAGTATCACCGACTTATCTCTTCACGAATATTAACATATTTTGAAAGTTCTCTTCTAATTTACAACGCCGGCATCCGCCTTTTTTATTTCATTGGGCCAAGATCAATAACTCTACCAATTGAAAGCACTTAAAATTGCCGCGATTCCGGTCATGGGCGATGTCGGAATCGGAATTTTTCGGAACCTCATTAAAAAGGTTAACTCTCTTGAGCGGTCACTTTTAATATTTCCCATGAGTTTACCAGACGGAATATTCGTTTGAATATAAATTACATGCCGGTAAAAAGTGCAGCAAGCTGATCCGGAATAAAACGTATTTCTATTATATATTTCAGATATTAAAACAGGGTCAAAAGTGACCTACGCCATAACAACAAAACGTGTTCTTGCTGTCCGGATGGCGTCAAAGTCTGGTCTGATGATCAGTGTGACATGAAGGAAAAAGATATTTTAAAGACAAAGACATACTTATCTTTGTGGAAATCAGATGATGTCAGATGATACTGTCATACAGGTTTATTTACTACTCTATCTTTTTTTTTATTCGCTGCTTTTATTCCTTTATTTTCACCATTTGATCATGTAACTATTATCTAGAGCCTTAAGCATTCATTCACAAGTTAAATCTCGACTTTCTCATTTCGAACATCTGTAGCAAGCCTTTTGTGGTAAAAACTAACGGTCTAACAAATCAGGCAGATAAAGTAGGATTAACTATTTAAGAATATATAATGTGTCAATAAGTTTTTGAATATTTTACACATTTATGATAAATATTATAAGAGGTTAGTTTTTAACATGTGTGATTTTGTGTATCTCTTTCCTTTTTAGGCTTATTTGAATTACCTTCTTGTGTTAACACCGTAAGTAAAATGTACTTTTTCGAACATAGTCTGAATAATCTTCTTTGAAAAAATGGACAAAATATTACACATAGAATACAGTCTTTGGCGGACTGACAAATGTGATTAAGGTAATGCAGATATTTTTTTTGTTTTCAAAAAAATATCATAGTTTTTTCTCAACATTCCTTTCAATTTTAGGAACAATACAACACACGAACAAGTCAAACTTTTATATAACAAAATGGCAAAGCTAATTTTCAGATTATAATATTTACTTATCAGTGTGAACAATAACTCTTAACTATCTTTCACTTTCATTCAACACCAAGTTTTTATTTCTGATTTTTGAGGTTTGAAATATTGATTGACATAAGAATTTTTTTTAAGTTTCTACTGAGTTTAATTAAATAGGAGCGTGCTGGGATCTACGAAAAACTAGTTTAATTAAGCCACATATATTGTATTCAAGGACCTGATCCAAGTAAGGAACCACGTCAGTAGTTATTAGGATAAATGAGATTTAGGGCAGATTTTTAATTATTTTTTTGTGTTAAAATGGACAACTTTTATAGCCTGTGAACGATTTACAGATAGATATATTGTGTAGACACCTGTCTATTGTTAAATATAAAAATAAGAAGATGTGCATGGTATGGTTTCCACTGAGACAACTATCCACCAGAGACTGTATACATTTGCCCTCTAGATGTCTTTTGGTTATTTTTTGTCGTTGGGTTCCTGTCTCATTGACCCATCCATCATGTTTAATTCGTTTATATTGTAGGTTACTCTTTGAAGAAGGACTTGTTTTAAGTCTACTTTAAGATATATACATGCGTTATTTTGTTGTCCTTGGTAGTGTTTACAGGTGAATCATTTGTGTTTCTAGAATATCATCAAACGCTAAGCCTCTTTTATTATAGACTAATGCGATTGATTATTTACTTGATCGGTTATTTTTTATGAATGTAATTAACATAACATAGCTTGGGTTTTGCCCATTGTTGCTCAGTCTTTGATTTTCTATGTAGCATTTTTGTAGACTTGTTCGTCTTTGTGCATGTTCCTTTTTGTCACCGGCGTTGTCAGTTTTTCTACAACTTATCAGTAGTTACGTCCCCTTGTATCTTCTGCCTTTTTTTCTAATGTCATAAAGGTGAACCACAAATTTAAATATACAACGAACTGCAAATTTTCATTTGTTTTGTGTTCAAACTTTATCATAACCACTACAATCAAATCATCGACGAAAATACAAGATTTCCTCAATCCACGAAAATCGGTACCCACGAAAATAAATGAATCCACAGTACACAAAGTGATTTGTTTGATCAACCGAAGAGAGAAAATTAAACTATACATTTATAATTTATAAACAATATTAGTAAAAGACTTCTTACCATTGCATACCATACCTAATTTGCACTTCCTAGCGTTACTCGCTTTTTGATATCTTATATAAATGGAGTGATAGATTTTTTTACTTTTTCTTATTCTTATACAAACATTAGATTCAGAAATTGCAAACACTTTTTGAAAAGTACAGTTTTAAGTTACTATTTTTAAAAGGTCAGTTCCAACTCCCCTTTTCTAAACTTTGTATAATCACTTCATTAGTAAAAGATAAGAAGTATAGATGTTTGTCTATGTTGAAAACCCTGCTACTTTATATTTTTGTCGTTCGATTTTTTTTATCTTTTGTTTTTTTTGTCTCTACCATTTCTAATGAAGGTTGTTGTGCCAAGGACAAAAGTTCTTTGCGCAGAAAACTGTACATACATTTTTTTTTTTTTTTTTTTTTTTTTTTTTATGAATCGTAGAACAGAAAATACATTTTATTCCATAGTTAAATACATATAATTAAAGGAAATTACATTTGTAAGAAGAAGAAGAAAAAAAAGAAAACTAAAGTATGTGCATAAAAAAACAAATAGTATCGTAAACGAATTAAATTAAGCACAATATGATGAAGATACAATTTTTTTCTAGAATAGAGAAAAATTATCAGTTCACGCACGTGCTTTTTCTTTGATTTTTCAATTAACACCACCGTGAACGTGGCACTTATTCAACTGATTTTTTTTTTCTAGAGTAATCTACTGATACTACTTGAGAATGACTGAAAGATCCTTCATGTTAAAATGAACAGTGTTTCCTCTTTGTTTTGTTTACTAAAAATAAACATTTAAAATTATTAACACTCTTTTACATTGTAACGCAAAGAAATATATTCATGTTTCTAGAATATTTGTATTTATATGATACCTTGAATAAAAAGTTAGTCTTGTATACAGTACACGCCAGAGAGACAGCAATCTAACCAACTCAAAGAGTACACAAATGTATGCATCTTTATCTTTTTGTTTTTGTGTTTTATGGGATTGTTGTCTCATTGACGGAAGTCGTACATCTATCTCCTTTTAGTTATTTTATTTCAAAAGCATTGGATCAATAGAAATGATAGATATCTTGAATAATGTCAAAGTTGTCCTAGACAAAAATAACTCATCTTCTTATTTTTATATGAAAACAATACTTGTTAATAATTTGTCATTTTTATTAGTTAATTAGATATTTTATTATTATTAATTTGTGGTGGCTTTCGACAGAACTAAAATCAAATAATGATTAAGGCATCTCTGGAAGTACTTCTTTTAAGGATGTTCGCTACTCTGTTTCAAAATAACAAGCTTTTTAAAAGTCTGAGACTATTATAAATTAATACTTTTTGAATAACGGAACTTAAAAAGCAGAAAAAATGAAAGGTACGTGCCCTTGTTTTTGGGATATAATAAATTGAAAATGTGGCGGGAAAGGATTATCTCTAGATTTTTCGTACATTTAACATTGGCTCCTTTTCTCTTTCAAAAACTATGAAAAAATAACAAGGATTGTAAAAAAATTAAAAAAATGGTTTTGAAAACTATATGTAATAAAATTATGAAAAGAAAAGTAGGGCTTAGTGGGCATTTTTTTTTTATTGGCACTACGTGGATAAAACTAAAGATTCCGAATATCTAATTATGAGTAGCGCACATCCTTAAGTCGAAGTACTGCTTGTTCAAAAACAATATTACATCGCATATTACCGAAAAGGATTTATTAAAATAAATTATATGAAATAAATTGTAATTGAATTTCTTTATTTTACAGGCAGCTATCATCAGTATGCATATTTTCTGCACAGCCCTTGTCTTCGTATCATTCTGTTACATTTATACAGAAGGTTAGTCTTAGTGATGAAATTTTAAGTAAAAAAAACCGTTGAGAAAATCTTATAAATTCAAAGCCTGTTCTCCCATTTGTAAAGATATTGAAATTTCATGTTTTGAAAAATGTCCAATGTCATACAGATGAAAAATTAATGAGTGTCACACATTTTCATTAGATACGAAATATTCTGTAAAAGTATTTTGAAATAAAGTTATTAGTTGTAGGAAAATCTACTGATACTAAATCTTTATATGAAATTATTTGGAAAATATAGCAAAATTCAAGTTTATCAGTGTGGATCCCCAAAAATTATTATGACTCGACAATAATATATAAGACGGGCACAATGTCATTCGGTTTTAAGATTTGAAATTCATAAGTTTCAATGAAATGCAATCCCTGGTTCTTCTGATACAATGGCAGACTGACGAAAGATAAAACGAACACAACTATTTATATATTATCATTTCGCAACTTTAGTAAACAGGAGTGTCGTAAACAATTTACAACTGTTGTATCCTGTTAAGGCTAATCCAATAATCATTGAATCCTTGAATAGTACTAGAAAACACTGGATATTCATTTCAGATGCTATATTTTAGTAAAAACTTTTGACATCATCGAGAAAAGCTGATGTAAATCTATATTCATATACGTCGATAGATTATTTTCTTATGATTTTAAGTTAAAGTACTACCATGTGTCGCGTAGAATTGGTTTAGGTTCATAATAATTTCTTTAAAGAAGTATGAAATTAGATAGGATGAATTGATATTATTTATACATTAAACATCAAAGGGTTAGGTTATAGAATATTAATAATAATGAAATTATTAATATACCATAGATTAAAAAACGAACGAAATGACGTCAATTACAGTCCAAGTATGCATTCTTATTTATTCGGCTGTATTATTCAATTAGCTGTTTTTTTGTTTTTTGTTTTTTGTTATTTTTTTTACGGTGCAGATTTGCTCCTTGAACGTCATATGGATGACCTGTATTTGTTTAAACCCCTGTCTTTAGGGAGATAGTTTGTTAAAATGTTTTAGAAATCTGAGCAAAAAACCTCGCACTTCCATACTCCAGCCTTGTTGTTTTTTTAGATATGAAAAATTCCACGTTTTGTTATCTAGAAAAAAATAACGGAAATGCAAAAGGACGGAAGAATTATTGCTATAAGCTTTAATTTACTAAACGGATAATTCAAACATAAACGACTTATTGTTTAATGTATAAGACATGCTTTGTTATTATATTTTGATTCTGTTGATACAACTTTGAAATTTAAACATTAAACAAATAATACACGATCAAGCTCTAACATCGTATGTTTCTAGTATACGGGAACATTCCACCAAACCTAAGATATCAACAACAAGAAATATATCGCATGAAACATTAAGAGACAATCAAAACAATCTGTAGAAAAAAATCTGAAGGACAAATGTGACTTTAATATTAGTACTAAGTCGAAATACCTAATGTTTTGTTGCCGCTAGTAACGCAACACAACTGACACTCTTTACAAGAACCAGGAAACCAATTTCAACAAACATCAATTCATTTATTCAATTTTGGTTTTGGGTCAGTATAAGACAAATATGATACGAACCATGGGATTCCTATGTTGATTTCATTTTAAATTCTTAAACAAGCTATTTTTAAGTAAGTGTGAAAAAATAGTCCTTCTTAATGCTATTGTTTTGGTTTGTTCGTGGAATATTTTTATCTACTTTTCTATTATCTTTTATAGTAAGGTTCTTTCAATGCAGGGTATAAATGTACTAATTTATGTACCTTTTATTAATCCACTTATCGAGATAAAAATGGCAACAACTGGTTCAAGCTTTCGACGTGCTTCTGTGTCTGTCCCTAGCCAGGAATTTCATTAATGGCGGCCGTGCATGTATGTCACTCAAAATGTTTCTAGATTTGCTTTTTTTTTACACATTTAAGAACGTATAGACGTCTACTATGTTGACCTCTTTATTCTATTGAAATGTTTGTGTTGTTGAGTTGCTGCCTAATTGACGTTTATCCTATATCTGATTTTATTAATATTTAATGTGAACAACAAGTACGAAATCTTAATTCAATCTAAGGTTTTTATCCTTAAATTTTTAGTCCTTGTCTTTTGGTCTTTGGTTTTAACCCAAAAAAAATATTAGACGACAAAGAAATAACATTTAACATTATACATTTCGGAATTGAACACAAAGATAACGCGAATGGCAATTTATTTGTTCAAAGTAAGAGAATAATACTTCACAAATATTAAAGAGTAATGCTGATTTTTTTAGTTTGATATAAAATATATAATAATTCAGTGTTTAATGTTTCCTGTTTCTTTGCATGGATCCGTGAAATAATTAAAGAAAATAAGATTTTTTTACGAATTCTTTATTCTGCAACACTATTTCGTCACCCTGATATTAACCACCACTGGACTTTTATGCACAAAAATCCTGTCCCAATAGTTGCTTTACTGAATTTTCAAAAATATATGTGCGTATTATACTTACAATGTACATATATGTGCGTGTTATACGTACAATGTACATATATTTTTATCATTTGTCATGTGATCATATGATAACAAGTATTATATTTGTTGAAAGAAAGACATAATTTGGTGAAATGGATATTGACATATTGTCTTTTGATGAAGACCGTTTGTTGACCTATTGATATCTTGATTATTTAGGGTTGCTGTTTCATTGACTTAATCCATCTCCTTATGTTCATATAACTATCGAATTCAAAAATTGAAATGGAATTTGTTAAAACTGTTCCAATAAAAAATGTTCCTTTCCATGCAGTTTGCAATATTCATATGATTTCTACATCCCAAATGAGTTAAATTCCGGTTATTAGTCGGGTTTGTGTTGTTCAATCTTTAGTTTTTGTGTAGTGTTTTATCATTGTTATCATATTTTCGTCTTTTTAACTTTTTGACCATGGTGTCGCTTTTTTTATTGTACTTATAATGTTTTATTGCTCCCTTGGTATATTCTATATTTTGTTTACTAAACAAGCTTATTACATGACCATTTCAGCATCATCATCAACATATCATAGACCGATTCAATGTCATAAAAGAGGTGGCAGAGTTTGTGGAGCGAATGGACACAGTTACTTTTCTGAATGCAGAGCTAAACGAAGGCATGTATTTCTTATATTATTGTATATGCAATGCCCAGTTTGAAGGTGATGAAAAGTGCATGATAAATGAAACAAATCACACGAAACATGATACAAACAACATATATGTTTAGATGTCTATACCTGCAGATATCTCAAATCTAGTCTATTCTTTTCTTCTTTTAATTACCAACAGCGGCGTAGAATCCGGTGGACAGTTGGGCGGGGTCAAAATAAGATATGAAAATGAATGAAGACACTGATTAACTTACTCTAGATTTTTTTTTTTTTTTTTTAACTTCACTTTTTACTTTTTCTCATTTGTTTTAGTTTTTGTTTTTGTTTTTCGCTTCTTTTTTTTAAATTCTGTATGAACTGTAAAGAAATAATGATGTTATGTGTATATCAGCTCAGTATATTAAGAATATAACACATAATATGATACAAGTTTAGTTTAGATTTACCATAATATTTTCGAGAACATGAAAAAAAAATCTACGAATTCTTATTCTAAATTAATAGAGGAAAAACAACAGTAGCTTGCAAAGGATTCTGCCCATGTGGATGTACATGCGACCGGAAGAGGAAGTGGGTTTGTGGAGAAGATGGAAAGAGATATCGTAATGCTTGCATTGCAGGTTGCTAGTAAGTTTTACCAGATCTGTCACAGACGAGGTCACAGATACTATCATATTTAAGAAATAAACTTCTTTTTGTAATTTTATTGGAGTGTTAAAGTGTTGACCGAAGCACAGTTTGTATGAAGAGCGGAAGCGCTTCATTCTAAAAATGTGTGCACGATCAACACTTTTATAACCCTATCAAATTACTAAAAGAAGCATTCATTTCTTATAATTACATGTTTATGCTAAGACCATGAAAAAAAAGTCTTATCAAGTTTTTCTTTTGTTTACCTGTACACTTTTTATGTGGAAGCACGTGTCATCATGAATGTAACATTCCATTTTGATATGAAGGTTAATATTTGAATGACGCGCGATTGTTGTTAGCCAATCAAACTAACGGATTTTCGTGAAACATACATGTAATGTAATTATGTAGACATAACATCTGCCTTTGTAAATACGTTACGGTATTTCTATGAATTGTATTCACAATCATTGCCACCTGGCTATGTTGTCGCTATACAACAATTTCGAATTCTTTTCTATAAATAACGTAACGCCGGCTTACCCGATGTCATTGAACAATCGGTTCTTATTGTGACGTAATAACACAATCATTGTGACATAAGAAATGTACGGGGAAATGCACTCGAATTGGAAAATCGTTTATTTATTATATGCAAAGTATACAGTTTTTGAAGTTGAAATGTGTTGTAAGATCCTAGCAATAAACAGACGAATTAGACAACACATGAACTAAGTGTAATGAACCGATTTACAGCAATCATACCAAAATGAGACAGAGCAAATAAAAATTATACATACGAGAGGTGACTGGTCCCTCTCCAATTGTTCATGTAATACTAAAAACTTGAGTGCTAAAAGACAAATATAAACATAAATCTTTTTTTAATCATAATCAGTTTCCTTCTTATTTCTTATAATTGCACTTTTAACTAAAACACACGTACTGCAAATAACAGGGGAAGCAATTTATATAACATGGTTAAAATTGCTAGCTTCGCTGATCAGCAGAGATATTACAAATGTATGAATGTACAGGAGATGTTAACTTTGAAATTAGCTTCATGTGAAACAAAAGTATACCAAATAATACAACATATGTCTAAAGTAGGGTGTCTGAAATGTATCAAATAATATATGAACTACGAGCGACTGGATGCATCAAATAAATTGTAACATGGGCGACTCGGGTAAATCAAATAGTATGTGTAGAGTCGTGCTGTTTCTGTGTATCAAATTAACAGAAGCGCATAACTAATCATAACTAGTTTAGTTTCGCTTTCCTATTTTGAAGCCACGTGAAGATCAAATGTAATGGCCAATGCCCATGTGATCGCTGTCCAAGGTGTCCTACACGATCTCGTCCTGTGTGTGCAAGCGATGGGTTACCATATCACAACTACTGTCATGCACGCTGCAAGTATGATTATTATTAGATTTATCAATTAAGCGCTAGAAACATTGGGGACTGGGGATTTCGGTAGAGCCTCAGAAAAAAGTATATGTAAGCAATGAAATTACTTATGATACCGATTGAAGAAAGAGTAGTAATTCTATGCAAGTTTTGGAAACTAAATAATCCCTGTTTTAACTGCCCAATGACGATAATATAATTTTTCTGTCACAGCCTTTCTGTTTATCATCTTTGTTTCCTGTTAGCGCTCGTATGAAAATATTGCATGCTCTCGCATAATATTCAAGTAAAACTAGAAATTTATAACGTTAAATTATATTTGTGATAATTTAATACTTTTATTATATATATATCGATTTTACAGGGGATTAAAAATAGCTTGTCGCGGCAAATGCCCTTGCAGAAAGCGTTGTAAATGTAAACATGAACACGCACCTGTTTGTGGAACGAATGGGAAAAGTTACAGAAACAAATGTCGTGCAAGCTGTGCGTAAGTAGAAATTTATATCAGGTATAAATTTCAATTCATCATTTATATGATATTTGACGGTGTGACTGTTATATATTTAGAATCGAACGGACAAGCGATACAATTTATACTTCACTGAACTACAAAGATACTTCAGATAAACATAGAATGAACGCACTCGTGGAAAAAACTACATTTGAGTTTCAAATGTATAAACATGATTCTATCTGTTGAACGGGAGATAGTAGTTTTCATCGCACGTAACGTATAACTTTGGTATAAGTTATTTCGCTTCTCTTGGAGACATATCTCTTGACTTTTCTATTGCATGAAAGGGATTATATTATAACATAGCTATTAATAAAGTGGGATATATGTGTGCATTACTTCAAGAGGCCTGTGATATATGTCGTATATAATATAATATACTAAATGGTGTTCCTCTTGCTTTCGCATCATAAACTACAAGAGTCTTCAGTTGCATTTCAATATTTCAAGGCTACAACAAATTACATGTACTTTATAAACGAAATACGAAGGTTTCTAGAAAGATTTGTTACTGCACAGGGCACGTTTTTACATCTTTTAACTGTACATGACACGTGCTAACATCTTTATTACTGCACATGACACGTGTTTACATATTTTCTGTACTCCGCACGTGTTTACATCTTTTTACTGTAATTGGCACGTGCTTACATCTTTTTACTGCAATAGAAACGTTTTCCCTTTTAATAACTACACATGGCACGTCCTTACACTATCATTCATGTTAGTGTTATATATATTACAATCATGACACGTAAATTTAGTTTCAAAGAGCTGTCACTTTAAGTTTTTTCTGTCTTATCCAAATTTGCATTTTGTTTTTCAATTAAAACATGTTAAATATTCAAATACAATTTACAGAAAAACTGAAGTGGCGTGTTCTGGAAGGTGCCCTTGTAGAACCAGCTGTGCGTGTCCGAAAATATACTTCCCAGTATGTGGCAGAGACGGAAAGACATATAGCAATAAATGTATGGCTACATGTGCGTAAGTAACTTGCTCGAAAAACGCAGCTAGAAACACAATTTGTCGCCCGTCTCAATGAGAACGTTATTCTTTAAATGCATATAAGTCTAGATTAGTCTATGAAAAGTTATAGCAAGGGGAGCAAGAAGGTGAACTTTGGTTTATTTTTATCAATAGTACCGCTTAAGTCGACGCTAGAGGCCGTCTTGACCTTGTTGTAGGGTATGAATGATTCGTTCATTGTTGAAGACCCTACATTAACTGTCAAAATGAAGAACAGGAATAAAAGCCCTGTTCATTGATAATTTTCTATGTTTTCTATGTATTGTATGCGATTTTGTCCCATGTACATTTACTCCATATCCTTTCATTTTCTATATATACTATAAAATTTAGAGCGAGGGGCTTGCCCCGAGCTCTTAATTTTATAGTATATACCTTTTCATAGACTATCTAATTTTAGCACATACTTACAACTTCTCGTCCAATCATATTGCTTGAATTCGCCTTCTAATTTGCATAGTACATACTTTTTCCGTGTACTAAGTAACTACGCATGAATGACCACAAGGGTAAGATTTCATTGTATCGTAATCAAGATATGAAAACAAAAATTGCCATTGGCTATTTTGAAATAACATGCTGTGTTCCAAATTAAATTAAATAGTTTGTAATTAGTTTTCACTTTGGTTTTTAAATATCCTGGATGTTTTGGATCTAAAAACTGTTCTTGACAATTGCAAGTTTGCACATACGGTTCTTTATACCTTGATTAGAGTACAACGCTATCGTAAAATTGTAATAATTTATCATCCATATGCAATTATACTTTGTACACAAAAAAATGTATACTTTGAATTATTGTGAAGGGAAATTAAGGCAACTTGGTGATTTTATAACTTTCTTGGGGAAATTGACCTATTTCGTCATGAATTGATTGATTGGTTATTGGTTGATTAATGTCCAGTGGCAAATATTTCATGCATGTTTTGAATTGAAAAACCGTGATAATGTCTGAAGAGAATGTGCCACCTATATATATATACATATATACATATTCTGATAAATCGTTTTAATTTATTATAGCTTTAGTTTTACTGTGAAATTGAAAAGTGTTTTCAAAACATGTATACATAGTTTCCAATGCAATTTAATTATTGTCTGCTTTTGGTCAATTCATTTTGTCATCTTACCATGTAAAGAAGTACAAGTACATGTATGGTAAAACACAGCTTTATATCAATATATATACTTACACCAGCAGTGCCCGTTTAGAAATAACATATCTTACAATGATACTAGTGAGTAGATTTACAAAACATAAAATTCGTTAATAAGCTCTGTTTTACAAACGCCTGTGATACAAGTAGTCAGCCAAAATAAACTATCAATAGACCAATTAAAAGATTACTCGAGTTGTAAGTATGTGCTAAATTGGATAGTCTATGAAAAGGTATATACTATGAAATAAAGAGCTCGGGGCAAGCCCCTCGCTCTAAATTTCATAGTATATACCTTTCCATAGACTAACCTAGACTAGCACATATTTACAACTCTAGTAACTTTTTAATTGCTCTATAATTGATAGTTTTTTTTTGGCTGACTACTTGTATCACAGGTGTTTGTAAAACGGAGCTCATTAACGAAGTTTTGTAAATCTACTCACTAGAATAAATGAAAAAATGTGATTTCAAAAGGCCCTTGACTCCAGAATGAAAAGACGGTAGCTGCTGGTGTAAGTATGTTTATTGGTATAAAGAGGTGTTTTACTATACATGTACTTCTTCACATGGTTTGATGATAAAATAAATTGACCAAAAGCAGGCAATAATTAAATTGCAGTGGAAGCTTTACATGTCTTGAAAACATTTTTCAATTTCACAGAAAAACTAAAGCTATAATAAGTTTGAAACATATAGATAGTATGGCAGTGGCGGATCCAAAGGGAGGGGTGTCCGGGGGTTGGAAAACCCCCATTTTTGGACGATCAATGCTTTTGAATGGGGACATATAGTTGGAAACCCCCCCCCCCCCTTTATCCTGGGTTGGAAACCCCCTTTTATAAATGGCTGCATCCGCCCCTGGTATGTCCCCATATATAGTCTAGCGGATAGTCATTAAAAAGCAACTACCAATAAATCAAAGATACAAGGGTTTATGTTTTTTTTTCAAAGAAAAATAAAACATGTATCAGAACATGTATATACATATATATATATAGGTGACACGTTCTCTTCAGACTATTTTTCAGTTCATGACATCGTCCTGCACATGCATGAAATATTTGCCACTGGACATTAAGCAACCAATAATCAATCAATCAATTCATGACGAAATAGGTCAATTTCCTTCACAAGGTTTCATAGTACACAAGGTTTCATAGTACACACTTTTTTATGTACAAAGTAATTGCATGGATGATAAATTATCACAATTTTAAGATGGCGTTGTACTCTAATCAAGGTATAAAGAACCATATTTGTTACTCTTAATTTAAATGAAAGAAACTTGCAATCGTCAAAAACATTTTTTACATCCAAAGATTTTAATAACAGGATATTTAAAAATCAATGTGAAAACTATATTATACGAAAGCCTATTAGGGTCACAAAAAAAAATATTAATCGCGTAATTACGACATAAATATCTCGTAATTACGAGAAAACTATCGCGTAATTACGAGATAATTATCGCGTAATTACGAGAAAACTATCGCGTAATTACGAGATAATCCTTTTTTATCTCGTAATTACGAGATAATCATTTTTTATCTCGTAATTACGAGATATTCTAATATGACGTTCTTCTTTGGCTTTGGATACAAAGCCATATTCTAATTCCAATAAAACATAGGCTGCACGTGATTGACGTCACAATTGAAATTGCAACGTCAGTAGAATTTCGAACACCGCCGGAGATCAAAATGGACATTTTTGTTGGTGTTGCTCGCTAGGAAATTTAATAAAATCATTTTAAAAGTAAGTTTAAATGTATCTGTTCTTTTTTATCGTTAAACTTTTGATTTTCTATAACATTTTTGGTTCACCAAATCAAAATGGTTGCCTTTCGAGCGTGTATTATAGGTCCGCTTCGAAGTACAAAAGATCGAAATTTTCCTATTAGAATCGAAATAATTCTATCATGCCATGCTCTATGCTCATTTTAACATGGGTAGGCATTATATTTGTTAACATTTAAGACCTCGCTAACGCTCGGTATTAAGATATTGACAAATATAATGCCTACCCGTGTTAAAATGAGCATAGAGCATGGCACGAAAGAATTATTTCTTAAATAATCGCGTTATTACGAGGAAACTATCTCGTAATTACGAGATAATTATCGCGTAATTACGAGATAACTATCACGTAATTACGAGATCATCATCGCGTAATTACGAGAAAACTATCGCGTAATTACGAGATAAGAAGTTTGTTATCTCGTAATTACGAGAAAATTATCGCGTAATTACGAGAAAAGTATCGCGTAATTACGAGATAATCATTTTTTTTATCTCGTAATTACGAGATAATCATTTTTATACGCCCGTTTACGGGGCGTATTATGGTATACCGTTGTCCGTCCGTCCGTCCGTCGTCAACATGTCGGATATTAACTCAAAACACTTTAACTAATTCGATATTTCTATTGACGTAAGTTCCCTTTCGTATTATATAAATTTTAGATTTTACGTTTCCGAGTTATGGGGTTTTATTCATAAAAAAAGGGGGATTTTCCAGTTTTCGGACAAATAATAAAAAATGCTTTTAGCAGTTCTTATAAAACTTTGGTGAATTGTTTATATCTATTGATGTAAGCTCTGTTTAGAATTTTATAAATTTTTCATTTATCATTTCTGAGTTATTGGGTTTTATTCATTAAAAAAGGGGTGATTTTCCAGTTTTCGGACAATAACTCAAAAATGCTGTCAGCAATTCTCATGAAACTTTGGTGAATAGTTTATATCTATTGATATAAGCTCCCTTTACATTTTCATAAATTTCTAATATGACATTGAGAATTAATTGAACTTTATTTGTTTAAAGTCTGACTACAGATTTACAAAGTATTGCGCAACAGCACATTGTATTGCACGACAGCAAGAAATCTTTAATTGAATATAACTTTAATTCATATAACCAATTTCAAGTTCTTTGACTACATTTATTCAGAAACCTTTAATATGTCAAATATTTAATTACAATCCAAATTCAGACCTGTATCAAGCTTGAATATTGTGTCCATTTTTGCCCTAACTGTTCAGGGTTGGACCTCTACGGGCGTATCCAGCTGCGCTGAGCGAAGCAGTTTATTTTATCTCGTAATTACGCGATAGTTTTCTCGTAATTACGCGATGATTATCTCGTATTTACGAGATAAAAAAAAATGATTATCTCGTAATTACGAGATAAAAGACTTCTTATCTCGTAATTACGCGATAGTTTTCTCGTAATTACGCGATGATTATCTCGTAATTACGCGATAATTATCTCGTAATTACGAGTTAAAAATGATTATCTCGTAATAACGCGATAGTTTTCTCGTAATTACGCGATAATTATCTCGTAATTACGCGATAGTTTTCTCGTAATTACGAGATATTTATCTCGTAATTACGAGATAAATATTTTTTTTTTGTGACCCTAATAGGCTTTCGTTATATTACAAACTATTTAATTTTATTTGGAACACAGCATTTTATTTCAAAATAGCCAGTGTCAATTTTTGTTTTAATATCTTGATTACGATACAATGAAATCTTACCCTTGTAGTCATTCATGCGTAGTTACTTAGTACACGAAAAAAGCATGTACTATGAAAATTAGAAGGCGAATTCTAGCAATTTGATTGGACGAGAAGTTGAAAGTATGTGCTAACTACATGTATAAAATTTTCAATCCTTCTTTTTTTTCACACACAAATTGCTTTAAGAGCTCTCTTTGTTCAATGATTCTTCTTCGCTAGTTATAATTAATGTGTCATGCATTTCTTACTTGAAATTAAAATGAAATGTTGTATATGTTTAATTTATAAAATATTTCATTTTACCTAACTCTTTTCGGTTTTGGTCACCAAAATTTCTAGAATTGTTACATAAAATTCTTTTTGTAATGATTTGTTGATACACCCTACATGTAATTTCTCCTATTTGAAGAGAAAAATCTGAACTAGCTATATATAGCTGACTCTTCAATTGTTCATGTATTTGCATACGGAGTATATATCTCCCAGTTGATACGATATTCCAGGGCTTGTGTTTCCTATCATGATTTCCTTGATAGAGGGTTGCTGCTCACAAGGAAGCTATTAAACCAAGAGTTCCAAGTGGTGAAGTTGAAATCATCCCTTCGTAAATTTGTCGGACGCCATAACGAGTTTGTTGACCGTTATGGAATATCTGTTTCACAGATGACGCCGGATATCTTCCAATTGTCGTAACTACAATCTCGTCCCATTCCCCCGGATGTGACCTACCGAATTAGACATATCACCAAATTTTTACTTACATGAGCAACACGACGGGTGCCACATGTGGAGCAGGATCTGCTTACCATTCCGGAGCTCCGGAGATCACCCCAAGTTTTTGGTGGGGTTCGTGTTGCTCGGTCTTTGGTTTTCTATGTTGTTTTGTGTTCTGTTGTTTAACTGTTTTTCTTTTTCTTTTTTTGCCATGGCGTTGTCAGTTTATTTTCGACTTATGAGTTTGAATGTCCCTTTGGTATCCTTCGCCTCTCTTTTATTTAAGTTTATCAATCCCCATATGTTCTTTCACGTTGTTTGTTTTACAGGAAAGTTGCAGTGGATTGCATGGGGAAATGCCCTTGCCGATCCCAATGTTATTGTTCTAAAGAATATAAACCTGTTTGCGGTTCTGATCATAAAACATACAATAATAAATGTATGGCAACTTGTGCGTAAGTACTCCTTTAGATAGTTGAATCTTATAGTTACAACTATTCTGGTGCATTGATCAGATCTTATAAATCAGAGTTTTATTCTAAACAAAATAGATCTAGTAATTAGCATTTCCAGCTAACATGACGAAAGTTATCCAGAAATCGTGTCATGCATACATTTGTACATTGTACTGATATCAGTGACATGCATTATCTTATTTTTCTATAACAACGTTTAAATATGACTAGTTAATACAGAAAATGTTCAATGCAGAAACTTGATATTGTAAGATATTATATCGTATGTTGCAGAAGTGGTAAAACAAATATTTACTATCATATTTTTTTTTTCAATCATTTTAATTGTTCATAGAAAAGTTGGAATAAACTGCAATGTCAAATGTCCGTGTCCACCCCCTTGTGTTTGTACTAAAGAGTACGTCCCTGTATGTGGAACAGACGGAAAGACATACGGAAATAAATGTACGATATGTTAAACTATATTGATATTTTTATATGAAAGACCATTATTATATTACAGAAAAGTTGGAATAGCTTGCAATCTTCAATGTCCATGTCCACCTCTTTGTGTTTGTACTAAAGAGTACGCCCCTGTATGTGGTACATACAAAAAGACATACGGCAATAAATGTATGGCAGGATGTGCATAAGTTGCAGCTGTGGACAATTTCATCTCATATTTAGTTCAGTTGTTTTAATTTATTGAACAATAATAAAACTCTTAATGAATTTGTAAGAGCCCATGACTAAGACATATTATTTTATCTACGTTTTTTTTTTTTTTTGTTCATCCCCGACACACAACAGTATAACGATATGACTTTCGATGTATTTATAAAATTGCGATAAAAAGACTTAAAAAAACTCTCACAAGCTTATGTTCGATATTTAGAAATGTTAATGTTTTTATATGAAAGACACTTGTTATATTACAGAAAAGTTGGAATAGCTTGCAATGGAAAGTGTCCATGTCCACTCCCTTGTGTTTGTACTAAAGAGTACGCCCCTGTATGTGGAACAGACCGAAAGACATACGAAAATAAATGTGCGGCAGGATGTGCATAAGTTTGCGGCTGATTTAATTTTTACACAATGATAATAATATGTAATGAATGTGTGAAAATATCATCTGATCAACGGGTTTTCTCCTTCTTATACACAACAGTACATGTGTATACCTGTATGGCATTCGATGTAATTGAAAAATGGCACAGAAAAGACTTAAAAACTCTGATGAGCTTATGTTCGATATTTAAAAATATTAATATCTTTTTATGAAAGACCCTTGTTATATTACAGAAAAGTTGGAATAGCTTGCAATGGAAAGTGTCCATGTCCACCCCCTTGTGTTTGTACTAAAGAGTACGTCCCTGTATGTGGAAAAGACCGAAAGACATACGGAAATAAATGTATGGCAGGATGTGCGTAAGTTTGCAGCTGTAGACAATTTCACTTCATATAAAGTTCAGTTGTTTTAATTTATCAAACAATAATTAAACTCTTACTGAATTTGAAAGAGCCAATGACTAAGAAGTGTCATTTTATCAACGGGTTCTTTTTTCATTCCGACACAAAACAGTATGACATTCGATGTAATTATAAAATGGTGCAGAAAAGACTTAAAACAATTGTCTCAAGCTTTTTGTCGATATGTTAAACTATATTGATATTTTTATATGAAATACCCTTGTTATATTACAGAAAAGTTGGAATAGCTTGCAATGGAAAGTGTCCATGTCCACCTCTTTGTGTTTGTACTAAAGAGTACGCCCCTGTATGTGGAACAGACCGAAACACATACGGAAATAAATGTATGGCAGGATGTGCGTAAGTTTGCAGCTGTAGACAATTTCACTTCATATAAAGTTCAGTTGTTTTAATTTATCAAACAATAATTAAACTATTACTGAATTTGAAAGAGCCCATGACTAAGAAGTTTCATTTTATCAACGGGTTCTTTTTTCAATCCGACACAAAACAGTATGACATTCGATGTAATTATAAAATGGTGCAGAAAAGACTTAAAACAATTCTCGCAAGCTTATTTTCGATATGTTAAACTATATTGATATTTTCATATGAAAGACCATTGTTATATTACAGAAAAGTTGAAATAGCTTGCAAAGGTCAATTTCCATGTCCACCTCTTTGTGTTTGTACTAAAGAGTACGGCCCTGTATGTGGAACATACAAAAAGACATACGGCAATAAATGTACGGCAGGATGTGCATAAGTTGCAGCTGTAGACAATTTCATCTCATATTTAGTTCAGTTGTTTTAATTTATTTTAAAAACAATAATAAAACTCTTAATGAATTTGTAAGAGCCCATGACTAAGACATATTATTTTATCTACGGTTTTTTTTTTCATCCCCGACACACAACAGTATAACGATATGACTTTCGATGTATTTATAAAATTGCGATAAAATATGGCATGGTATTGGTTGCAAAAATTTGATATTTTTTCATTTAAATGCAATATTTTTTATTTAATTGGTATATTTCTTCATTTCAATGCAATATTTTTTTTTATTTAAATGGTATATTTCTTCATTTAAATGCAATATTTTTTATTCAAATGGTATATTTTTTCATTTAAATGGTATATTTTTTAATTTAAATGCAATATTTTCTATTCAAATGGTATAATTTGTCATTCAAATGCAATATTTTTTATTCAATTGGCATAACTTGTCATTTTAATGCAATATTTTTTATTCAATTGGTATAGTAGTTTTTTTTATTTATATGCAATAATTGCATTATGGGAAATTCTTTGACGTGACAAGGTCAAATTTGCAACAACGTTTGTGATTGGTCGGTAATTGTTTGGATTTCTTCCCTTTCTTTGTAAACATGAGTGACCAAGAATTAAAAAAACGCGTCGGAATATTACCCCTCTAACTAAATCTGGCGTTCGTGCGAGTTCGTGCACTGGCTGTTAATGCCAATAATGGCCAGGTCGAGCAAAAAATGCGAGTGACAAGTAATAATAATTAATTGACACACAACCTGTTCATGGATAGAAACAGATACCTGCGTGTATGGCAAAAACGCCTCCAATGAAAACCCTTTCTGAAGAAACTCCCCTACAGTCTACACATTGAAATAAAAAAAAATACATCACTATTGGTTGTTTAGAAGGCAGAGGCACATAACAAACATATGGCGTCGTTTAGTCTAAATGACTGATAAATTTATTAATGCAGATATATTAGAATGTGAGCTGTGTTATAAACGTTTTTATGGTATGACAGCCTTAGTAGGACATCCCTGTAGGACGATAAGCTGGATAAATATAAGAACTACACCGTCGGACAATAACAGTTAAGGGACGATTATTTGATATTCTAGGGAAGGGATTTTGATTGATTGGTGTCTAACGCTACTTTGAACACTATTGGGCTATTCCGTGGTGGTCAGTTTAAATTTATAGATGAAGGATGGGGAAGGGAAGAGAGGGTATTATTATTCATTTTAATCTGTCGCTAATAATGCCTATTTTTCAGCTCTTACCAGGCAACCATATTCATATATGAAATCCTTCTGTCCCCCACCCCAACAAATAGATAAATATCAAATGGTTTTCCACTTATGTAACACAATTTTAAATTGATTGATTGTTTGTTGCTAATTTTTTAACGCCCAGTGACAAATATTTCATGCTTGTTTAGGAAAACACGAATTTAGAAGTCAGGTATATAATATAAAAACGAAGAGATGAGATGGGATATGATTGCTAATAAGGCAACTATCCACCGGAGTTCAAATATGAAGTGGATGTAAGCAATTATAGACAATCTTAAGGCCTTCAACAATGAAAAGAACCTGATACTGTAAAGTCTTCTATAAAAGGACCGATATGAAAAGTGTGAACAATTCAAACGAAAACACTAATGGCCTAATCATACATAACAAAACAATTTACAAAATATCAAATATGAGTCTAGATATGAACCAACGACAACCTCTAAATTACAGGCTCCTGACCTGGGACAGGCAAATAAAGAATATGGTTGGGTTGATATAAAAACGAAGATGTGGTATGATTGCATATGAGACAACTCTCCACAAGAGACCATATTACACAGAAATCAACAGCTATAAGTCACCATACGGCCTTCGACAATAAGCAAAGCCTACACCGCATAGTCAGTTATAAAAGGCCCCGAAATCACAAATGTAAAACAATTCAAACGAGAAAATTAACGGCCGAATTAATGTACAAAAAATGAACGAAACACAAATATGTATAACACAGCAACAAACGGCAACTACTGAATTACAGGCTCCTGACTTGGGTCAAGCACATACATACAGAATGTGGCAGGGTTAAACATGTTAGCGGGATCCCAATCCTTCCCCTAACCTGGGACAGTGGTGTAACTGTACAACAACATGTTTGTGAGCACTCAACCCATCCCGAAGCTGGGACAGTGGTGTAACAGTACAATAAAAGAACAACCTGCACTAATCAGTTGCAATTAGTCAAAAGATCGGTACGAGACACACAAAAAGAAAATAACATTAAGACAATAGACACAAAGCACCGACATTAGAGTATTTTTAATTACTCAGTGGAAGTTTGCTCAAAGCTAATAACAACTAGTACTGAAATAAATCTTGTTCTCCCAGACTGAAGTATCAATCAGTACACAACGCGCGGCAAAGGATTTATTAAAAAAGAAAACAGTCTGAGAAACGTCTGGTTTACGTTATATATATATATAAGAAGATGTGGTATGAGTGCCAATGAGACAACTCTCCATCCAAGTCATAATTTGTAAACCATTATAGGTCAAAGTACGGTTTTCAACACGGAGCCTTGGCTCACACCGAACAGCAAGCTATAAAGGGCCCCCCAAAAATGACTAGTGTTAAACCATTCAAACGGGAAAACCAACGGTGCCGTCTAATCTATTTAAAAAAAACGATATACTTGCATATAGATCCATATACAATGAAACTTTTTGAAAAGTTGTGGTCCGAACGTTTTGACCATCGACATTTTGCAATAGAAATAATAGTAAGGACCAGAAGATTTTAACAGTCAGTGCAGGATTCGCACGAACGCCAGATTTAGTTTGAGGGGCTATATTCTGACGCGTTTTTTAATTCTTGGTCACTTATGTTTAGAAAGAAAGGGCAGAAATCCAAACAATTACCGACCAATCACAAACGTTGTTGCAAATTTGACCTTATGACGTCAAAGAATTTCCCATAATGCAATTATTGCATATAAATAAAAAACTACTATACCCATTGAATAAAAAAAATTGCATTAAAATGACAAGTTATACCAATTGAATAAAAAAATATTGCATTTGAATGACAAATTATACCATTTGAATAAAAAATATTGCATTTAAATGAAAAAATATATCAATTAAATAAAAAATATTGCATTTAAATGAAAAATATCAAATTTTTGCAACCAATAACATGCCATATTAAAAAGAATTAAAAAAAACTCTCACAAGCTTATGTTCGATATTTAGAAATATTAATGTCTTTATATGAAAGACACTTGTTATATTGCAGAAAAGTTGGAATAGCTTGCAATGGAAAGTGTCCATGTCCACCCCCTTGTGTTTGTACTAAAGAGTACGCCCCTGTGTGTGGAACAGACCGAAAGACATACGGAAATAAATGTGCGGCAGGATGTGCGTAAGTTTGCGGCTGATTTAATTTTTACACAATGATAATAATTGTATTGAATGTGTAAGAAATATCATCTTATCAACGGGGTTTCTCCTTCTTATACACAACAGTACATGTGTATACCGGTATTGCATTCGATGTAATTGAAAAATGGCGCAGAAAAGACTTAAAAACTCTGATTAGATTATGTTCGATATTTAAAAATATTGATATCTTTATGTGAAAGACCCTTGTTATATTACAGAAAAGTTGGAATAGCTTGCATTGGAAAGTGTCCATGTCCGTCCCCTTGTGTTTGTACTAAAGAGTACGCCCCTGTATGTGGAACAGACCGAAAGACATACGGAAATAAATGTATGGCAGGATGTGCGTAAGTTTTAAGCTGTAGACAATTTCACTTCATATTGAGTTCAGTTGTTTTAATATATCAAACAATAATTAAACTCTTACTGATTTTATAAGAGCCCATGACTAAGAAATATCATTTTATCAACGGTTTCTGTTGTTTTTTTTTGTTTGTTTTTTTTTTCATTCCAACACACCACATTATAACGGTATGACATTCGATGTAATTATAAAATGGTGCAGATAAGACTAAAAACAATTCTTGCAAATTTATTTTCGAAGCTACACTCTAATAATATCTTTATATGAAAGACCTTTGTTATATTACAGAAAAGTTGGAATAGCTTGCAATGGAAAGTGTCCATGTCCACCCCCTTGTGTTTGTACTAAAGAGTATGCCCCTGTATGTGGGACAGACAGAAAGACATACAGCAATAAATGTACGGCAGGATGTGCGTAAGTTTGCAGCTGTAATAAATTTTAGATCATGTTTAGTTACATTTTTTCAATCTTTTAAACAATAACAATAGTTTTATTGAATTTGGTAGAACCCTTTGATCATGACCAGTACACATTTTGTGACAATCAAGGAAAAACGGATGGAATTGTGGGCTCCTAAATTGAAATATAATAATGGTCATCTGTGACACAGAGATTCTAAAACGGTCTTCCAACTTAAAATGGCATCCGTAAAACTTTCGAATGCATGACTTCAGCTTTACCACTTCGAATATTTTCTATATCAAGGTAATCATGATGAACCGTAATCTCTGGAATTTCGGTCTTAATTGAGAGATATATACTCCGTGCAGGCGTTTCAGAAATACTGATACAAAGAAGTGGTAGAAGTGGAAGATGCACAATTGGGAAACGGAGGGGGTGGCGGAAGTTATCTGTTTTGGCAGAAAGATCTGTATTAAACCGACCCATTATCATATTTCTAAATGTTATTCAGGTTTCAAATGATTGATGTTGTTAAACTCAAGTACTAGTACATAAAATTATCGCACCTCGGTTCAATTAGTGATGATTTGATTTGTTTAACGCCATCACATCTTGCACCTATGAATCCTAGGTGGTCAGTAGACTTCATAGGAGCATCGTGGCGTCACGTCTCCTTTTATCGTTGTTGCATTTCATTGATTAATTTTAACTTTGTATACAAAACTTGGCAGGAAAATTCCCCTTTGTGATAAATTCGTTTTACGGTTGGCTACGGATTCATAGAGGGTTACTGGATTTTAATAACCCTCTATGGATGGATCCGTTCGGGGTCAGTAGCAAACCATAGAACTTATATAAGTTTGATAAATGATAAGGTATCAGTAGGTAGTAACACGTCTGTGTTGACATGAATTATCATTGATATGGCCATAATTATAAATCAACTGTTTACTAAACTTAGATTTTTTCGAAATACTAATGATTTTTCATCCCTGGAATAGATTACCTTAACTGTGTTTGGAATTGTGGGTCTTCCACTTCTCTCTTTGTTTGGCCTTTATGATTTTTTTTTATTCAAGCGTCACTGATGAGTATTTTGTAGACGAAATGTGCGTCTGGAGTACAAAATTATAATCCTGGTATTTATGATTCACATTACGAACTCATCAAAAGATTAAACAGGCAATGAACATTTCGATAGAAATGCAAATATAAAAAATGAAACCATATGAGCTCTCATTGTTTTTGTTGTGTCCTGAATTAATTATTCCTTATATACATATCTATTTTTGTATACAATTGAATTAGAATAAGTTGATATGTCCTAATGATTTTTAGCTGAACATATGTTGATACTGTTAGAAATTGGTTTCATGCGATTTCATCGGTTGTTTTGACATAGTCATATATTCAAAATGTTTTTTTTTCAGATACTAACAGTAAGTTTAGAATCTCGGTATACATATACAGTTTTTTTTTCATTTAAGATAACTTTCAAAAACTTCGCTATTGGCTTGAGTTTATGTTATTGATGTAAATGTGATCAAACACTAAAGCATATGATAATATTTTACTGTACGAATCTTAAAATGTTAAAAAAAAAATAATTGTCCAGTGTCAAGAGCATGAACTGTTGTTTAGCCGTCCTTATATATATATTGTATGATCATTCTTCAGATCAAATTCCTGAAAACGTTGTATTAAACGAACATAAGGCGAAGGTATGATAGGCCACTTTTTGGTCTCCAGAATTAGAAATAAAAAAAGTAATATATATCTGACAAATAAGCTCATCATCATAGATACCAGAATTGAAAGTGTGTACGCCAGACGCGCGTTTCGTCTACAAAAGACTAACAGTGAGACTCGAATCAAAAAAGAGACCAAAGCAAATATGAAGTTGAAGAATTTAGTGCAAAAACTGAAAAATATCTTCATTTTCCATTTGTCATTTATATTGATAATTGATAATTGATCCGAGGCTTTACCCAAAAAGATATTGTTAATCGATGTATTTTACAAAGATAATAATATTCGTAAAATATATTTTTCGAGTTATGCATTAGCTCTTATCAAAATCTTTGTGTAAAATAGTCACTGTATGTCCAAATGTCGGTTGTATTATGTTTTTGACCTCAAGTATCATAGCATTTGATCTTTCTGTACTAAAGTGACCAGATTACATCAACCTGTTCATTTATCAGTAAATTTTACATAATTTTGAAAGGTTTCAATAGTTTTACTCTTTTTTCAATTTCAGAGCCAAAGAATTGCTCTTATCATACCTTCTCCATTTGTCATCCTTTCCTCCCTATGAAACATGCGTTGCGTCAATGTGACACAATTATCATCACGAACGTGCTGCTTTGACCTAATTATACTGAATTATTTATACAGCAATACAAACATTTAGTTGAACAGAAATTCAAAGAATTTGACAACGTATACACAAACTGGCAAGCAATTTTTTTTTAAAGAGGATAGAAGATTGTTTTATGGTTTGCAAAACATCAGTTAGTTTCATTGACTTTGCTTGCGTCAAATAGCAGATAATTTTCTAGTTGTGAAAATGAAAACAATAGAAAATAGCTCTATCAAGAAATCTTTTCTTGCGTATTTTCTAGACATGGTTATTTTTACTCTATTTTAATCTTTTTGTAGAAAAATAAATATAAAATGCAATGGAAAATGTCCATGTAAAGAAGATTGTGTTTGTACGGCTCACTATGATCCTGTCTGTGGTAAAGATAAGAAGACGTATGGCAACGCATGTGTAGCAGGTTGTCAGTAAGTTTAAGTCCAATATTTGTGAAGAGTGGTTTTATTTCATCAACAAATATAAATAAAGGCAACAGTAGCATACCGCTGTTCGAAAGTCATAAATCGATTGAGAGAAAACAAATCCGGGTTACAAACTAAAACCGAGGGAAACACATCAACTATAAGAGGAAAACAACGAAACAACAGAAACACTGAAGTGAACAAAAAAAAAACGACTGCAATTTTGTCAAAATTATTTTTAAAAATTATAATTGGCTACACTTAAAATTGCTGTACATGAAATTAGTTGCATACGTAAGCAAACTAACAACAATATTACCATTTTTATAGTGAACCTCATGAGAAATATCTTTATGTTATAAATGAATTGCTTTTCCTTTTTTCATATCATTCAATGATTGAATATTCAAATGCAACTAACTTTTGTTATAAGACTACAATGATGTAAGATACACATGATCCTTTAAATGGGTTTCGAGACAATATTGGCCGAGTCGCCTTTGATGTTGTGAGTTCAACCACCGCTCGTTCGACTCTAAATCTACATCTAAAATGACAAGAATTGCCAGTTTTCCTGCCAAAAGTCGATGGTTCTCTCCGGTTATTCCTTTTCCCTCCGTTAACTAGCCACAAAGATATACCCTGGAGTGATGAAAGTGGCGTTAAACACTTACAATCAATCAATTAAACTATTAAATGTGATTCCTATTTGTCTATCTAGTACGATTCAGATAAAAGTTAGTTGGTGCCAAAAAGTAATAGATACCAACCAATTTTGATCTACGGTCACAAGTACCGGAGGAGAAGGAACTTCGTATTTAAAAAAAATCATAATTAAAATATTATAATCCTTTTTCTAAATTTATTGATTTACGGTATATCAAAACCTGGGAATAGTATACGGATTCATTATATTTTGTCCCAGATTAAAACTAACATTTAGTGGAATCGTCAAAGTAAAAGTTGATTTTTTGTTGATTAATAGGATGGTCATTTTGAAACCTTTTAATCATGGAGTTTTTGGATTGCTTTATTTTTTCAAAGAATAAGAAATAGATTCTGAATCCGTTCGGGTATTTTGAATTTTAGATTTAAGATACAATTATTTGTTATGTTTATTCTCATAGATATGTATTATCAAATTATTGAGTGTGTTTTGTATAGAAATATAAAAAGACCCGTGTGCTTTTCGGATTCCTAGTAATAGTTTTGAAATATGTTTGTGCCAAAAAAAAAATGAATGGAACAGATTAGGAAACTGTGATGTATACAACTATCTGCCGTTAATTTTTTTAGCAGACTGTATTTGTTGTTTAAAAAGTATTTTAGCAAAATAAAACAGTCTGGTATCTGTGATAAGTTTTTAGTGTTTGGGTTGTTTTCTTCTTAGCGTATTTCCATCTTCTTGTTATCATTTACCATGTAATTAAAAATAAGACCAGGACATATATAGCAACAAATGTCGATATAACTTGAACCCTTTACCAATCAATTTCATAGATTCATTGATTTGATTATAAAATGCCTATTATAATGAAACTATAAACGATAGATAGAAACTTTAAGAGAAAAAATGATCAGCAAGACAAGACCTGCAAAAAGTCAAATAAATGAAAACGTCAGTTGTCCTTCTCTATGCGTTATAATCAGCAATACAAGATCATCAAAAAAAGAAATTTTGGTCATAAATTATATTCTAGTCTTCAATGTTTTAGAGTGACCTTTGTAGAATATGCACATAGATATAGGCCAGCGCCGCGGGCTCTATCATTCTTTAGAACCTCTATTTTTTTTATATAAGTTAGTCTTTTACTATTAATTAACAATTTGTGGTCGTAAATTAACTATGTCTCGTAGTTAAGTTTTATGCTTCATTACACAAAACGCTACAATAATTTGAGATGAAAATGAAAAAAAATTACCAATAGAATGTTAATATTGGATGTGAAGTAATATAAAGCTGTTACAGTTAATTTGATTTTGTAGGTAAAAGTGACAAACAATATGAAGCAAAATTGACCTAAGGTAACGGTTGACAAGCATAAGTTCATGATTAACCTTTAAAAACTAACAATAACAGACAAATAAGTAACAGTTTAGAAAATTAATCATAAAGGAGCGGTTCACATTTTGATCTCTATATGTATTAAATATAATCTCTTTATCCTATATTTTTTCCAGTAAAGTAGACGTAGCGTGTAATGGGAAGTGTCCGTGTAAGCCACCGTGTATTTGTACACAAGAACATGATCCAGTTTGTGGACAGGACGGAAGAAATTATCCCAATAAATGTGCAGCTGGTTGTCAGTAAGTAAATGGCTACATTATAACAAAATGATAATTGCCTTCAAATTAAATGTTTTTGTTTAATCATTTTTGCATTTTAGGGGGAAATATTCATTGCTTAAGAAATTATGACAGAGCCTTCCAATCGCCTTCACAAATTATTTGATAGATTTACATAGAATGATAATTCATAAAATGTGAATTAAGGTAACAAACTTTGAATCTACTGGACAATAATACAAATAATAGAGAATAAAAGTATATGTTTACTACGTTACTACTTAGAGTCCTTAACGATGACATGTTTGTGATACTCAAGGAAAAGTAAAGTAATGTTGAAAGGTGTGCGTGTGCATCATGCTCATTTCTTTGTCATGCACAAACGTATGAAACACGTAAGCTACAAGATAATGGAAAACCAGTTAATAACATTAACAGAACCAATTTTTTTCTGCACAAGAGCTGCATTACAACAAATAATGTCTTGCTTGAGGACAAAACATTATAAAATCAAAAACGTTGAATAACCAATTTAAACAAAAAATGACCAAAAGAAAAGTCAAACTCTGAAAAGGAAACAGAGTTATGTACGAGGGAAATAAAGTTAGTAAATCAAAATCATCACAAGTACCAAATAACTGATTGATGACAATACATGTACATTGATTATTGTTTCTAGGTTCATAAGCATAGACATGTGGGTGAGTTTTTTTGGTCTAGGTATATTTAATAGCTGTTTATTGCAATTACTATCATTGCGCCCTTCACATTTTAGTAATATCAAAGTTGCATGTAAAGGTAACTGTCCTTGTGAAGCGCCTTGCGTCTGTACAAAAGAAATTGATCCTGTTTGTGGAAAAGATGGTAAAGAATACAGTAATAAATGTGTGGCCGGTTGTCAGTAAGTAGAGATAATGAAAGAGTTGTAATAGCACGTACTAAGAAAAATTGTAAATGTATTATAATTTGAATACATATATTAGAAGACGTTTCTTTGATTTTACAAATTATTATATATTAAGTTCACGTTTATTATCAAACGCAAATAATAGACAATCGATTTGTTTTTAATATGTTTTATTTTTCTTCTTTCAGTAAAGTAGGTGTGGCTTGTAATGGCAAATGTCCATGTAAGCCACCCTGTATCTGTACTTTAGAGCATGCTCCCGTTTGTGGAAAGGACGGGAAAACATATGGTAATAAATGCCAAGCGGGCTGTCAGTAAGTTTTAATCATGCATATCCAATTATTTAATGATATTATATCAGTGTTTTCAATAAATTGAGCTTCATGATGTCACAAGGGAGTTATAGAATGTTGTACTGAGCACTACATTTTGGTGTTGGTTTTTTTTTTTAAGTATATTCAAGCAGATTTAGCAGTATTCTCTTTTTGTAGAGATTGCTGTATGATGAAATGATTCAGAGAGTTTCTTATAATTGTCTTTCGTTTAATGTTGATAGCTTTAATTCTGCCGTTACATTATTTATGTTGATTTGTTTCACTTTCTACTATCCAGTCCTCTTAAAGAGTATTTTATAGGATTTGTTTTACTTATTTGTTATCGACATTCTTTTTCTGTGGTCTTTCGGTGGATAGTTGTCGAAAAGGTAAGCATACCAAATCAACTTAATTTATAAAGAGTCATATCTCTAACATGCATACATAAGTTGCTGAATGTTGTGTACTGATTCTGAAGGGGTCAGGTCCTGTCAGTTTAATTTCTATATAAATTTATTAAACATGCAATTGTTTCCCCATTCCGTTCAATGTGTTTCAGATATAAAGATATGCCACATTTGCATCAAGCAGGAAACGATAGCGACATAGCTAGACATAATATTTAGCTTCATGATTAATTTCGATACTTTGAATATAACTGTTGAGAGTTGAGAAAGTCTCATTACACAACGTACAGTCGTTCAATCTGTTTGATTTCCATGTAGCATTCAGATATTCTATTATGTGAAACATTTCGTTGTTTTTAAGATATTACGAATGTTGCTGTTGTTGGTTTTTTATGCCCATGCAAATTAAAGTTTAAGGGGATATTGTTTTACCCCTGTCCGTCCGTCCGTCCTTTCGTCTGTCTGTCTGTCCGTTCGTCCGTCCGTCCGTCCCATTATGGGTATATAGCTATTCAAGATAACTCCTCCTACAGTTTGAAAGCTAGGAAGTTTTCACTTTGCTGGCTGTTTGTACATATATTGAAGGTGTGCATGTGGTCAGGGTTTTGATTTTTATTGATATTTGCTCTTTTGGGAGATAGTTGAACTTTGTCATTTTTGGAGTATATACTTGCATAAGAGGTGCATAGCTATTCTAGATAACTCCTCCTACAGTTTGAATGCTAGGAAGTTTTCTTCACTTTGCTGGCTGTTTGTTCATATATTGAAGGTGTGCATGTGGTCAGGGTTTTGATGTTTTATTAATATTTGCTCTTTTGTGAGATAGTTGAACTTTGTCATTTTTAGAGTATATACTTGCATAAGAGGTGCATAGCTATTCCAGATCACTCCTCCTACAGTTTGAATGCTAGGCAGTTTTTACTTTGCTGGCTGTTTGTACATATATTGAAGGTGTGCATGTATGTGGTCATAGTTTTTATTTTTATTAATATTTGCTCTTTTGAAAGATAGTTGAATTTTGTCATTTTCGGAGTATAGACTTACATAGGAGGTGCATAGGGTTTCCGGATAACTCCTCCTATAGTGAACCATAGACCTATGTGCTCCTATTCTCAACTTTGTGAACTTTAAAATAACACTTTTCATCTGCGGGGGCATCACTTGTGTCTCCCGGACACAATAATATCTACATTGACTTTGTTATAATAATAATAATAAATTCTTTATTTAAAGAGGGTAAACTCAGTTAGTTACAATAAACTAATCTTCCCTGAGGCCCTCACATACAAATTACAATACAATCAAAAACAGATATTTACACATAGTTAATTTACAGTCAATTAGTTCAATGTAATATTACTAACATGATAAGATATAAGGCTGTTCAAGATGCACATGTAGTCAAAAAATCAAATAAAAATAAAAATAAAAGAATATACAAATACATTGTAGAAAACATAATCTTATCATGACTGTGTTAAGTACTTCTTGATACTTTGTTTAAAAGTATAAGTGTTTTGAGCTTTACGAATTTTGTGTGGTAGTCCATTTCATAACACTGATCCAGAATAAACAAAAGATTTCTTAAATAGCTCAGCTTTTGGCTTAGGAACTATCAGATTACCTTGAGTGACACCTCTCAAGGAGTAAGGATTATTATCTGATTTCAGTTTAAACTTTTGAACTAGGTACATTGGTGCTTCCATACGCATACATTTATATAGAAGTGAATATTTGTGGTATTTGATTCTATTGTCAACTGTCATCCACCCATATTCTTTAAATAAGGGGGCTGAGGGGGATAAAGGATCTACATCTAGAATTAATCTTGCTGCCCTTTTTTTGGAGTTTTAAAATTCTTGTTATCCCTTCATTTTTACATTCACCCCAAATAATACAACAGTAGTCAATCAAGGGCAGAATATACCCATTGTAATATGTTTTCCTTGCATTTATATCTAAAAATTTCTTTATTTTAGAAAGAAGGTATATTCTGGATGATATATTAGCACACACTTGGTCAATTTGATTTCTCCAGTTAAGTGTGCTGTCAATTTTAACACCTAATAATTTTTCACATGAAGAATTTTGTAATACTTTTGAATTTATTTTTAAGTTTGGTTGATAAGTCTGAATTGATAGTTTCTGCTTTGTTCCAGTAACCAAACATTTTGTTTTATTTGCATTAATAAACATGTTATTCATTTTGCACCACTCTTCAACCCTGTATAAATCTTCTTGAACATCATCATGTATATTTTCTATGTTTTTCCCTGATTTACGAAGAGTGGTGTCATCAGCATATAGGTCTGTTTCACAATTTTCAATGCATAAGGGAAGGTCGTTTATAAATAGCACAAACAATAGAGGACCAAGTATAGAACCTTGGGGGACACCAAATTTTACATGTTGTTGTTCAGAGTAAACATTACAAATGTTTACCTGCTGTTTTCTGTTATTCAGGTATGACTTGAAAAATCTAACAGTAGCCTCACTAAATCCATAAATTTCAAGCTTTAAGCAAAGAATGTCATGATCTACCAAATCAAAAGCTTTTTTAAAATCTAATAAAATTGCTAGGTTTAAATTACCATCATTCATTTCTTGCAACCATTTGTCAATGATATTAATAAGTGCAGTTTGACAAGAATGCTGCGGCCTGAAACCAGATTGTGTAGGGTGTAAAAGTTTAAGCTTAGATAAGTATTTGTACATGTTATTAGAAACATGCCTTTCTATTAATTTTGATAAAGTTGGAAGAACAGATATAGGTCTGTAATTTGTTGCTAAAAGCTTGTCACCATCCTTGAAAACTCATGTTACCTTAGCATTCTTCAGTAAAGAAGGATATATACCTCATATAATACAGTTACTTCATAGTGGAGTGCGGTGGCATCACTTTGTCTAGTTAAAGCCTGGTATCTATAGTGAGTGTATTCGTCAAACTCAGATACTACAGTGCAGAATGACTTCATGTTTGCATGGTCGGCAGCTCAACGGTGATAACGTAAGTGCACCATACATGTATGTTTTCGGTTGCACTTACCGTTATCATCCTGACCTTTCGTATATACTTGAGCAAAATTATCTCTCTGATTGGATAAGATAACCAATATTTTTTTATGACCACAAATAAATCACTCTCATACTCCCAATGTATTTCGGATCAAATTCAATACTTGAAATTAATCATAATTTAAAATAAAATGTTGTTGAATAGTGTTGGTCAAGTGGAAAGGTGAAATCTAGAAATGATGTTTTAGATATATTAAAAGTTTGGTTTCCTTCTTATCAACTAAATATCCAGAATGGAATTTCATTTATGTATACATACAATTATTTTTTTTTATAAGCTTGTTATTCATAAAGTGTTTAATTTTCTTGATTTTAGACATGTGCTAGTAGCATGCCAAGGCTCATGCCCATGTCATCATCATGATCATACCTGTCACGACTGTCTTTCTGAAGGAATGCAACAAGTTTGTGGGACAGATCACTTCACTTATATAAATTCATGTTTTGCAGAATGTCAGTAAGTATATGTAAGACTCTTGATTATGACATCACTTACATATATATGTCAAACATGCATAAATAACTTAAACAGAGTACAGGTCATACCTACTGGATCGTATCAAAACATGTATACAATGTCAATGTAATGTAGTCTTTCGTGTGGTTAATTCACACTTAATTGTATTTTAAAGTAAACTCCAAATAGATCTGTAATCCATATCATTAGAATTGTGGCTGCATTGTACTACATTTCGGATTCTGCTATAAATGACTTTACGGTATGGTTTATGCTCGTTGTTGTAGACCATGTGGTGACCTATAGTTGCTTATATATAGGTCATTTGGGTGTATATTTGGCTCACTGCCAATCATAACACATCGCCTTATTTTTGTACATTAAAAGAAACAATACTAATCAACTTGAAAATTAAGCTTAAGATTACCGGTATATTCCGATATATTGATTGATTCAGTGATAATTATTTGCTTTACGCCGCCTTAGTGCAATAAGGCTTTACCGCGGCGATCATACTCCGGTGAAAGAGAGAGGCGTATGATACCAAAGGGATATTTAAACTAATAAATTTTGAATTTATAACGAAAACGGCCGAAAAACAAACAACAATACACAATACTAAAGATCCTGCTCCACTAGTATTAAGAGTCGTGTTGCTCATGTAAGTACACATTCAAATTCGGTGATAAGCCCAACTCGGCGATGTCACATTAGAGGAAAAGAGAACGGGGCAGCGGTAACGACAATTGGAACATATCCGTCGTTATTTGTTATTTATAACAATCAACCAAACCATGATGGCGTCCATAGAATGTTCATCACATTGAATCCGTGGTTTAAAAATACTTCAACTACATTATTGAAAATACAATTTCCTATCCCAAATGCCAGTGGAATTAAGTGTCCAGTCGAGTTAGCTTATCGTACTTTGTATCTAAATCCCTTCTCATTGCCTATTTGTACAAAAAACAATAATGAGTTTCAACGCTAATGAGTCTTCTGAAGACGAAAAGCGCGTCTGGTGTCATAAGTTTAGGTCTGGTATCTCTGGTGAGTTTAATTCCGTAAAGGCCAATATAGGTAAAAGATGTAGAAGCAATAACGTTCCTATTAAGCTATGTGTGTGTTACGTCCACTCAGTCAAAAAAATAAAAATTAAGCCCAAGAGTTTATCATAAGTATCGTGTCTACCTAAACTCTATTAAAATTGAAAACAATGTTATTACTTAAATTTTGTTATACTGGATAACATCATATGTGTTATCTTGGTTAAATTTAACTAGCTAATAGTGTTCATGTATTCATAATTTGAAAACCAATATTTATCATTGATTGTAGAGGAACAGTTTGATCAAAAGATGTAACTGAATTCTGATACAGTTTTTTTGGTGTTTAATAAAAGATAACAGCCCCAAATGAAAAATAAATACATTGTATAAATTGCACATATGGCAGTAGCTTTATTTATGTAACTCAATTATATCTCTTCGCATAGATAAATTCTAGATAAATTGACGCTTCTACAAATAGTCTAATTAACAGTGCTTAATTATTACATTAGATGTATGTTTCAATATTATACGTTATTTTGATTGGCTAACAGCAATCTCGCGTCATTCTTCATTTCAAAATGAATTTCATGAATTGTAACATACATGAGGACACACGTTTCCACAATAAAGTGCACAGGTAAATAAAAGAAAAAAATTATAGTAATCGTGTTTTCATGATCATAGCGAAAAAATGTAATTATAAGTATTGAATGCTTCTTTTAGTAATTTCATACGGTTGTAAAAGCGTTGACCGTGCGTACATTTTTAGAATGAAGCGCTTCCGCGCTTCATACAAAATGTACTTCAGTCAACGCTTTTAAACCCCAATGAATTTACGAAAAGAAGCATTCAATTCTTAAGTGAAGAATACGGCCACAATTAGATCTCTTGATGTCGACTTTTGTTCTTCAGAGTCAAAGCCGATTGGTTTCAATAAAATTTGTTCGGTGTGAATAAATAACACGTTATTCGATATAATTTTTGACATAATTATTTATTTACATCGATTCGGTTATATACATAAAACAGAGAAGGAAAATAGAGAATGTGCAAAGGAGACAACAACCCGACCAAAGAGCAGAAAACAGCCGAAGGCCACCAATGGGTCTTTAATGCAGCAAAAAATCCCGCACTCGGAGCCAGGCGTCAGCTGGACCCTAAATAATAATGTACACAAGTTAAGCAAAATGAACGCCATACTAAACTCCGAAACATACAAATAAACTAAAATTTTAAAAAACACACCAGGCTAGAAGTTCCTGACTTAGGACAGGCGCAAAAATGCGGAGGGGTTAAACATTATTTGTGATATTTCAACCCTCCCCTATACTTCTAGCCAATATGGAATAAACAAACATACACCAATACGCACAGTGAAACTCAGTTTAAAAAGTCCGAGACATACAACACCATATGATTTGAGTTAAGGCAAATGTAGTTAACCGATGTTAAAATCAGGTATATTGATTCGGAAGAGACAAATCAAAGTAACAAACAAAAAATGAGTGAATCAATTGAACTCAAAAAGTAGCGAGACTGGGTGCGTCGACAGGGTAAGCGCCTTCTAATATGCATGCATCATTCGCAGTGCGAATTCACATTATGTCAAAGTTTTATAATCGCGATCGGGAAAAGGATACTTTAGAAAAATCACAGATCAGACGAGTTTACTAGTATATAAAGATCTAAGACTATGCAAATGAACGAGACAGTGTTATTAAAGTATAAAGGTGTAAAGGTTTGTCATTAAGACGAACTAATAACTTTCATGATCAATTCTGTTTTCAAATAATACCTTTTCTTGCATTTTCATAGCTTTGGCAAAGATTAACGATCATAAAAGTAGAAATTCATCATTTCATACTCCTGACCATAAGGGAAATGGAAACTGAAAAATGATTGATCACGATGTCTTCATAAAAAGGAGAGGGGCATATTTATACAATATTGCCTTGAGACCTTAACATGCTAATAGTGTGTTGTTGTATCAACCTCGGTAATTACCTAAATAAAAGAGCTGGAGTTGATGTATTCAGTTGGAGATTGTGTTCGTTCGCTCATCCGGTCTATCTGCATATCAAGTCTCGCTACGTTCAGGGTTCATGAGATAACTTAGAGTTTTCCTTTTTTTTTTGTGCACCCGAAATGGATTAACGAGCTTTGAGCATTGGTAAAATACTGTTCCCATGTATTGTCATACAAGTGAGCGGTTTATCTAGCTATAAAACCAGGTTTAATCCACCATTTTCTACAGAAGGAAAAGCCTGTACCAAGTCAGGAATATGACAGTTGTGTTCCATTCGTTTGATGTTTTTGAGCTTTTGAATTTGCCATTTGATAAAGGACTTTCCGTTTTGAATTTTCCTTGGAGTTTGGTATTCTTGTTATTTTATTTTTTGGTCATGGGTTACCCAGATGTAAAGAATGAAACCATTTATATTTAGAAATATATAAAAACTAGTGTTGTCAAATTGAACAGCTTTGAACCGGTTACTCAAACAATCTTTCGACCGATTAACCGGTTAACCGGTAGTTAAGTTAATGTTTTAAAGATTGTCGATACTCTCTACAAATGCACGGTTTGATGATACGATGATTGAAGTATATGATTGTGCATTATAAGTCTTGGCTTTGAGCTTTGAGCAGCTCTGGTAAAGTTTCATTTTCAATAATCCGATACAACCATATCTACTATGGCGTTTGTAATAACTTCAGATTTAGAAGATGAAAAACTTCTTGATATCGGCGAATTTACAAAGTCTGAAACCAATGACTGTTTAACTTTCTCTAGGGTCTCAGAAAATTATGTGGAGTGTTTCAATTTGAGATGATTAAGCTTGTTACTCGTACCACACGGTTTTATAGATTAATTCCATTCACATAATTTGCGATTGACCATTTTTGACTCGGCATTTCGTTTAAAGTATGACAAACTTCTTAGACGATGGAAGTGGCTTTATTACATGTGGGTCCACGCAATATTATATCAAAGTAAAATAATGAAATAAATCGTAAAATTTAACCAGCTTACAACAGTTCGAAATACATGTAGGCTAATTATGTTTACTTAAGATCTTGCCCCGAACTGATAGACAAGTTGTGTTCGTGCTAATTTTGTAAAATTGGAGTGTTTTCAAGGTTAATAAAAGTAATCAATAGACTGGACAAATGATATGTCAAATTAATTAGCACTACTATCATTTGAAACATTTATTAATGATGTCAATACATATTTATGTCAAATATATTAGAATGAAAAAAGGTCCGGTTAACCGGTTAGCATTTTTAGTATTCGATATTCGGTCCTTCCGACGGTTAACCGGTAAACCGATTAACCGTTGACAACACTAATAAAAACCTATTTACATCGTTCATCACTCCTTCTTTGGCAAGTTATAATATATATACGTATTTTTATTTTATACATACATATATCATTGAGATGCTAGAGTCCTACTTATTTTAACATTTTGGTGGGAATTCGAATGCATTTGAATGATTACTTCATTCATCTCATATAGATTTACAAGGCATTATATCTTTGCTTTATATTTTATAAAATTTTCTATCCTGCTCAAAATATGTTTGTGTTGTGAAAGTCATAGTAAACTATTACTGAGAATAAATTCAGAAAAATAGTAATTTCATATGCTTCTTGCAAACATTAACATGTGTTTAAAAGTAGATAACGTGAGCTCGACGGTAACAAAATTGTACATATTTTGACAGTTTTTCGCTTTCGTTTATCTAAGAAACAGATCAAAGATTCCATTGAGTGTTAATTTTGTAGGTGGTATCTTTATTTGATATATATTTCCCCAAATTTTATTTTAAATTCAGACTGAATCATAAAAAATTGCTTTAAACTGATCTCCAAACAATCGAAGATTCTCTAATGAGGAGTACCTAATTTGCACACATGCCTAACTTCACACTAAAAAATCAAAAAGCTTTTTTCTTTTACATATTCTAATTACTCATTTTTAAAAGTCAATTGTTTGGGAACGTAGCATGCAATGTTTCCTGAATTTTACATTTTTGCACTGGAAATTCCATCTACTGATGAATGTTATGATAATTTTGTGTATTTTTAAGTATTAGAGCTATTTTGGAAGACGTGTAAAATGACAAATAATAAAATACGAAAAGGTAAGTCTCAAAGACTGCTATTTTACAAAATGGATGAAAATTGGGTAATGGTGCAATTTGGGTATTATGACGTAATATGTATATGTCAATGCAACTGCAACCAACTAGCAAACAAATGTTTTAAATTTAAGGGGAAAGAAAGTCCAATGCAAAAGTAAATGTCCATGTCCAAAGGCGTGTACCTGTACAAAGGAATATAAACCCGTCTGTGGGGAAAATGGTAAATCCTATTTGAATAGCTGCCTTGCAGGTTGTGCGTACGTATACTCGTTGAAAAAGTTTGTTTTAAATACTAAAACAGTAGATATAAAGATGTGCATAGGACAAACTTAAAAATAAAACCAGTATACTAGTACAATAGCTTTCAAAAGCGTACACTATCAACAAAAGTAAAATGAAAATTCAACAAATATTTTTTGCTTTGGCTAGGAACATTGAAATAAACCTTAAAATATCAGATTCAGAAACGGCGAATTGTGTCACAGTCATATTCTTTTTTTCGGCATATTTTCGTTGTTAAATATTAAGTATCAAAATGGGAAGAGTTAAATGTTAAGATTGTACTTTAATTGTGAAAATGTTTAAGAAGGTAATTTGTTGTCGGGGTATCATTAAGGCAAATTTGAATAATTTTCACATGTTTAAGACGTTTTGGGGGAAATGTTTGCAGACCTAGATCACGACACGCACATAAAAACAGTTAGAATTAGAAAGAAAAAATCGAAAACAGTGTAAAAAGTTGAAATTTAAAGATCTTCATATTATTAGTCAAATATGTTTAAGTAAGCTTCTTTTGCTCCACATTCTTGTACTGTCGTACGATTCAATAATATAATCTAGTGGCTTTTTAAAACACAGGAACATGAGGAAAATGGCAATAGTGTCACGGACAAAAAGGTTAAGGTTTTCAAACGCTAAGTGCTTGGATATGAAATTAATTTTGGCATTATATCAATGTGTTATAACTCGGTATAACAGTGATCTTCGTGTGTAAGAAAGAACGCGTTTCTATGTTAGAGAATACTCATGCATAATTCATTTCCAAGTGAAATTTGAAAATATTTCAGAATAAATAACACAACTTAAAATAAAAGGTCATCCCATATACATCGAACTATGCGCCACTATAATATTCATCCTTATTCTTTTAGTTGCTTTCATTTGCTTTGTCATTTTACAATTTTCACTTTAAACATCACAGACAAATATGTTATATAAGGCAGTTAGGAAAAGCAAACATAAAATAGTGAATTTAATAAGAATATAAAGACGGCGAATTAAAGGACGTGAGACAAAAGGCAGTAAAACAGCATTTTTTTAATTGATAATAAAGGAGGTGTGTGGTATACGTCAATGAAAAAGCATTAACACATTAACCAAAACATTAAAATATAATTCAAGGTTAACATACAGTGTCATCATAATTTGCATTCAGTGCATTAAATCAGTTACACTTTTTCTATTTGAGTTACATATAGTGTTTGTAATGGATTATGGGGAGACATTAATTGTCATTTTTTTGTTTCTAGGAACGTCGGAATTAGCTGCAACCATAAATGTCCCTGTGGATACGACTGTCACAAGTGTTCATCAGCTGGAATGCACCCTGTATGTGCCTCACATGGAGAAACTTTCATCAATAAATGTTTTGCCGCATGTGGGTAAGATTTTCTAAGGACTTGTAATATTTTGTTGTTTTTTTTACCTTGAATTGTATCCTCTAAATCGGTTTATGACATGAGATATGAATATCGGTAAACTAAGGTTGCCTCTAATTTGTCAAGATAAACCCTCCCATAAAGCTGTCCAAGATCATCAAATATTTCGAAAAAAGTATAGAAGTTTTTGCAGTGCCTGAAACTAATAAACTTTCAGAAATGGTTACGCATTAAAAATAGTTCTTCGTTTTACATGAAATGTTTAATTGTGAAGTAAATGACATATATTTAGTTGCAAAATGCTTATTTCATTAATTATTGCTTTCGTTTGGACTTTAAGTAATTTCAATTACTGCATTGAGACAATTATTGCAAATACTGTTAATAGTGTTGCATCGGTAGGAAATTAATGTTGAAAACCTTTAGCTGTGCAATGCAACGGACGTTTATTTTATGTTTAAAGAAGATTATGAACTGATAAAAAAGCGTACAGCAAGTATATGTTCCCCCAAATACATATTGAATGAGCTATTCTGTGAATTGCAAATCCTTGTATTTCATAGGGAGGTGTATAATAATTATTCCTATATATGTACAGTTGCCTTTGGCAAATTCGCAGCTCGAATTATTGTATTTTATCATTACAGACAACATGGACAAGCAACAATACAGTGTGAAGGACCATGCCCATGCAAGCTGTAGATTAAACAATCATAACAATGTTTTGTTGTCTTCGCTTTTAGAGTAACATTAACGGTGCCAATTTTACTTACAAAATGCGCATTTCGACATTTAATGTCTCTTCGTTTGTGCCCGAAGCCAGAATATTTAAAAATCCAATACCTAATACAAACTTTGAAAAGCTGATAAAAGCAAAAATAACCTAAAATATAATCAAATCTGTAAAAAATCCCTGTATTTAATTTTGAAATTAACATGATTACTTAGTGATCTGGAAAACCACTGGGAAACCTACTGTAATGGCCAGCGATGAAACATTGTATTCTTTACTTTTTTTTCTCAGTTATCATTAAGCGCAAATATGTAACGCCATATACTGGTAGACGCTTATTATATATCTTTACTCAATGATGTCATAAACGAGGAAAAAACATTTTTTCTTCCAATGACGATAAGAAAATATTTGTAGTTTTCTGTCGTTACGCTCGTTGAGCCTCAATTATGACACTGATTGAGTGATGATTAAAATTCAAAGAAAAGTGAAAAAGTATGTAATTTTACAACAAAAAGTTGGAGGTTCCTGAAACGAAGTTTACCTTTTTGAGTGTTGCCTTGGTTTATCTTATTTAAGTTGTCAAAACGTTTGCATTCATATGTACATTATGATTCCCCAGTCGTTTCTGCTGTGATCAATTCATGTTTAAGAAAATTCAGAAATGAGCAGCGAAAACGGACATAGCACCCTGGTAGCTTTTACTTTAATCTCTGATACGGAATCGCTGAGCCTCGTCAAACGCAGTATGGAGGAATATTCAGTTGTCCAATAAATTCTGACCTAACTTTTCATTTTGGGTCGTTTAGGTTTGCCTCTAGTATACAACATACCACATCATAAACCACCACCCGACCCCTAAAACATGTACAAACAAAAACGAATTACCATTGTTCCATATAGTCCGATATGGAAAAGACAATTAACTGTATTGGGTTATACAGTTTAAACCATTTTCGTTGCGTCAGCCTATATAGCTATTCATTTTCCATGGTTTCTTTTTCTTAAAGCAACGCTTCCTAAATCTGTCACTGAAATGGGCTAAATCAAATTATACTCAATTAAAAAATAAGGAGATGTGGTATGATTGCCAATGAGACAACTATCCACCAAAGTTCAAATGAAGTGGATGTAAGCATTTGCATGTATATGCAACCATACGGCCTTTAACAATGAGAAAACCCCATAATATATAGTCGGGTATGAAAGGCCCCGACATGATAAATATGAAACAATTTCAATTGAGATAACTAACGGCCTAATTTATAACAAAACAATTTACGAAAAACAAATATGACAGACATGATGCAGCAATAACCTTGGCTTTGGACAGGCACATATAGAATGTGGTGGGGTTAAACTAGTTTGTTGGCGCCAAACCCTCCCCCTAAACTAGGACAGTGGTGTAAAAGTACAACATAAGAACGCACTATACATATCAGTTGGAAAGGGCTCATCTGGTCGATACAAAGCAGAAAACATCTAACGGAAACACAGACTGAACATGGCAGCGTATCTATACATATGGATCCCACAACAAAAAGACACTAAGTAAAGATTTGAGAATACTCGCAGTTACTGTCAGATAGTTCAAAGCCAATAACAACTAATAAAAAAATCATGTATCTAAGACTAAAATATCTATCAGTACTCTTCCAACATCCAATAGATTTAAAGGGGGCATTAGCTGTCAAATTAATGTTCACCAATTTGACTCAAATTCTCATATTTGATTTATAACCTACTGAAACATATATCCAAGTTACAAAAACTCTAAAATGAACAACTAACAATGCATGGACTCGATAATATGTATCAGCATTTCGTGTGTATTTTAGTCTAGACGCCATCTAATTAACCATCGAGGTGACCTCCGAAGACTGCCGACGGTCATATAACCCGATATAAACATAAATAAAGATATAAATAGATAGCGAACACGTGCAATTGGATTTTTCTAGGTCTGTTTGATTTCATATTGTAGGTTAAACAAATATGTTAATCATTGTTTTACATGTATAAGAATGAGTTTGTGTGGATCGAATCAGTCAACCAAATGGTTTACCATTGTTTCACTTTCAATTTTGACATTCTTTTCCTTTTAATAGCTGAACACGTCTAGTTCATGTGTAACAAATTTCTAGCTAAGGGATTAAATAGAAGGTCACATGAATACGGATTTAATGAGATGTTTCTTAGCTTATTTTGACAAAATTGAACCAAACTGGCTTCTAAAAGCCAATTATTATTTCACTATTTCACTTTCATTAATGTTTGACCAAAAAAAATCATATTTTATTTTTTTTTTATATCTCGTAGCTAATGCCCTTAAAGTTAAGGTAAAGACGTCATTATCAGTCGGAAAAAACATGACCCTGTGCAATGCCAAAATATAGGTATCGGCTGATTGTAGTATCGTGAATGTATATATTATTATTGACTTTATTTCCTCTTATACAGATATTATGTCATAACATATACAGTATACACATTAGGAACAAAACACATAAAAACACACATTTAGACAGTTCAAAGTATCAAAGGAACATCAAATTAAGCAATTGTGATTGTCGCTAATGACCAACAATTTATCGATAAAAGAGTTTACATGTGCTGCAGATATGCTGGACACAAAGTTTTGAGAATACAATACTCTCGTCGTCATCTAGCTCGTATTTGTGTCACAGGATAGAAGTGTGGCTGTGAATTCTAGAGATGATAGGCTGTCCATATAGACACTAAACTGGATTGGGTTTATGTTTATAATGTTTCTCCACATTTCATTTCTATAATCAAGAACAAAATCCTTTGAGCATAGTATATGTTCTAAAACGTTTGAAAACAGTTTCCCGCATTTTTCACAAAGGAGTTGTACAACTTCAATACGAACAATAGCACATAGGTCAATAATGTACTTTGAAGCTACTCTTACATCTGGATATCTCTTCGCAATTATCCATGCTTTATGTAACTTAATGACTGGATGGATAAGTTCTAACCACTTCAATTGTGCTGTCTTGTGAATGTTTTGCGACACTACATTGTTCCATACAATTTTTGAAGGAAAGGATCCTAGTTCAATAAGATTAACAATATATTGCAAGAGATTGTGCTTAATAAATAGTCTATACATATCAGGGATGAAACCAAGCTGACTGTCCACACATTTGTATTTAAACTCTAGCAGTCTGACCATCATTATCTGCTTTGGTAGGTGAGCTGAATTCAGTCTACATAATCTACCGAATAATAAAAGTTTGCATTTGTCAATATAACACTCAATGCAGAGCCATCCAAGAAGGCTGGTACACTTGTCTGATCTGGGCCTTTTAGGTAAGCCTTGTACTGCTTTACATACGAATCTGTGAGCTCGTTCAAGCAATATTAATTCAGGTTTGGTAAGATTGTTCCACAGTTCGCAACCATATAATGCCCTCGTATAAGCTTATTGGTTTACAATTTTCAAACATGTAGATATATTCAAGCTAGCCGGATGAACACCAGAGTTCATAATGGAAATAGTAGTTGCACGTAACATCTGACACGCATTACGCATTCATCGTGTGTTCCATAGAATTAAAGCTACTCTCTAAGAGAATACCGACATGTTTAGTTGATTTGACGATTGGTATTTCTGAACCATATAGAAATAATCTATCAATAGCGTTGCTTTGGCGATTTCCATACAGTAATACATGACTCTTACTGGGTGAAAACTTAAAGGCCCAACGCTCACTAAACGACTGGCAAATGTTTATAAGGGTTTGCATTCCTTGGGTTGTAGGTGACATCAGAGCTATATCATCCGCTTGTACAGAACATGCGACTCTTAAGTCATAGCGAATTGTACCGTGTCTCGTTTTGTTCAATTCAATAAGCAAGTCGTTGATAAAAGCTAAGTAAAGAACGGCTGATAACACACCTTCTTGACGCACTCCTCGTTGTAGTTGAAACCATCTCGACAGTTTATTATTGAATAAGATTGAGCTTTTCATGCCACGATACATTTCGTCAATCAAAAGCCAAAATTTTCCACAAACACCATATTCTTTTAATTTAAGTAGGAGAGCGTCATGCCACATTGAATCAAATGCTTCCACACTGTCCACCAGAACAACAATGACTTTACTGTTGCGTTCAATATAGTGTCTAATTACCTCCTGCATAGTAAAAGATGCATGTTTACTGCATAACAATTTCTGATAAGCCATTTGTGTCGGATGAGGAAAGTTTTGTTGGAGAGGTTCTAAATGAGGTACGAGTATTTTCTCGAAAATTTTCGATATGCAGCTTGTTGGCGATATACCTCGAAATGAATTTGGGTCAGTTTTGTCTTTGTACCCCCTTTGAACAGTGGAATTATAACACTTGATTTCCAATCAATAGGTATATAACAGTTTTGAATTATCAGATTGAATAAGGCGCACAAATGTTTTTGTAGTGGTTTTCCACCATACTTCACGTGTTCGTATGAAACCTTATCCAAACCAGTGGATTTATTATTCTTTAACTTTTTACAAACATCGTAGATTTCGTCATATCCAAACTCCGTAATATCGTCACTGACTGCTCTAAAGACGTTTCGAATATCAGCAATTTTTTGTTTCATAGTTTGTTCTCTTTCAGGATTGAGCAAAGATCTGTCGGTTTCGAATATTGATTCAAAGTGGTCGGCCCAAGCCTCACATATATCATTATCTTCTGTATATGTACTTCCATTCACACGAAGTTCACATACTTAAAGATCTAATTACAGTGTTGAATTGGTAAACTTTTAGAATACGTTTATTTAAAGGATTGATAAGTTAACCCGGGTCGTATCTATATATTTCCGGGCTCGGTAAACAATATCCCGTAAAAATTGGGATGTGCTATTCCGTTTGATATTATTATTTTTTGTGCGTGTGCTTTATTTCATTAAGCTTGAGTTGGCTAATTACTGATTTCTGTTCACTAATGACATTAACTTAAACACGTACATTTAACTTTGTAATTTTTATTTGCCTTTACTGGTATTCGAACCCCTTCTTGAAGTCTGTTATGTAAGACTGATGTCATACACTTCGACAAAACCTCTCGGCTACCATTGATTTACATTTTAGATGCCTATTTTATATATATCAATGATGCATACCGGTACAATGGACACACAGGGCTTTCACCTTTATATATATTTTTTTATGTATAATAGACAAGCGTATAGTATAAGTTGGAAGCCGATAGGTTTATATGAATATGTTGCAG